GGTGAACTGGTGTGAGATATTGAGAAGAGTTGAATATTAAGCGATTTCATTTTCGCAATTTATTTATTATTTTTAAGAGTCATGAATTGATTGAAGTTAGATATTAACATCGTTGAATGCCGTCCAATTGGTTCATAGGTTGAGCGTTAGTGCAAGAGACCTAAGGTCCTGGGTCCAGATCCCGCGTGCCTAGTCACAGATTCACACTGCCAAGGAGTCCCATTGTATTTATTTATTTGAACACATAAATATTGGTACAAGAGGGCACCAAATATATATGCGCCACACAAAACAATCAGAATTCGAAGAGAGAGAGAAAAAGAACAATAACGAACAGAATTCATATTATTCTGCACCAACCTTTGTTCTTACTCTCTTTAAAATAATAAAGGGAACTATGTGTATGAACAGATTGGTGTAAGGTAGTGTAATAGTAATAAAAAAATAATAATAGTAATGATGGGGGAAACGGAAAGGTACAATCAGAAAAAATCTTTCAGTTAAGAAAGAAACAACCATTTTTTATGAAAAAGGTAAAGGAAGGTTGCAGCAGGATCGCCACTGGCTTCTATTCTCAGCCATATCTGATAACGTCTCTAGCCACTGTGTTGCACCATCTCTCGGACCCCAGCCAGGGAGTCGTGGAGGACCAACAGAAGCCAGCCCTTTGCAGCTTTCTTTCATACCACGACACCATGTCATACACTGACCACCTCTCCGCTTTTTCCAACCAGTCCCAGCGTCGGCAAATAATGCGCGACGTGGAGTTCTCTGGGACGACATTCGTAGAACATATGCAAGCCACCGAAGTCGATGCTTCAAAATGGTGACACCAATTGCATAATCATCTCTGTCCCCGAACACACGATGCCGAACCTCTGTATTTCTAACATGGTGTTGCCACTGGATGTCAGCAATCCTTCAGAGACAACGATGATCAAACACAGAGTCGTATAACATTCTCAACTCCGAGGGGCCAGGTTTCACAAGCATAGAGCAGAACTACTCTCACCGACGCTATTGTATATCCGACCTTTTACAGTCAGACTAACATCACGAAGGCGCCAAAGATGGCCCAGATTGGCATAAACTGCTCTGGTTTTCACTGTACGTGCATTGATCTCATCACTCACGCCACCACCAGCACTTATGCAGCTACCTAGATACACGAACTTCTCGACTACTTCTATCTGCTCACCATCCAGAGTGAGTACAGGATTAGAATCCTGTCAGTCTTCAAAGGTGCAAATCACATACCGTACCTACGGACACTGATTGCTAACTGATTAAATGCGGATTGCATGGCTTGGGCATTATCGCATAGTAAGACAATATCGTCCGCATACTCAAGGTCGAGAAGTCTTTTTCCAGGCAACAGATCCACACCGCCATTACTTACATCCATCAGAGCTGTTTCCAGAATGTCATCGATGACAAAGTTGAAGAGGAATGGTGAGGTTGGTCAACCCTGTGTAACCCCACTGCTCGAATGGAACAATGGAGAGAGGTGGTTGTATGCCCTCACTCTGCCTGAAGTGTTTGTATATAGGGCCTTTAGGATGTTAATAAACGACCGTCCAGTGCTTCCAGGTTTTCCATGGTGGTATAGCTTCAAATGACTCATGATTTTAATCAGTGTTGATAAACTCCTCAGGCACACCCTTTTTTAATAGACAATCCCAGAGAACAGTCCTGTCCAACGAATCGAAGGCAACCCTGATGTCTAGAAACTCTACAATTGTTGGCGTTTGATAAGTATGACGGTGTTCTAATTTTTGGTGGAGGGTGAAGATATGATCAATACATCCTTGACCAGAACGAAAACCAGCCTGCTCCTCGCGAGTCAATCTTTCTCGGCTTTCAAACAACCTACGAAGTATGATGGAAGCCAATAGTTTGGACGCAATCAGAAGTAGACTCAACCCCTGATAGTTGTTATAGAAACAACGTGAACCTTTTTTAGAAATAGGGACAACTATCAACTTGTTCCATGATGTTGAAACACTCTCTAGCTCCCAGACCTCTGTAAACAACGTCGTCAGTTCGTTAGCTAGAAAGTCATCATCTTTAAAAAGAGCCGGAAGTAAGTCATCTGGGCCCGGTGATTTGTAGCGCTTCAAGAGTTGGAGTTCTTTGCGGACTTCCGCGTCACTTTTTGGATCAGTCGTCATAGGCTACTGATGGCAGGCAGTCTGATCGACGTTGTCGGAGCAGCGGACCAGTTGAACTGCTTTTCGAAGAACTCTACCTATCGTACAAGGCATCAATGGATGTTAGTGAATGACATTGTTTCTCACTCTGACTTTCTAATCTAACAACACATAACTGACTATTAATGGAGATCCAATCGATTAGTGTTGCCTTGGCTCTAGCGCTTAGTTTGACACCAACGCCAGCAAAACCAGAGGAAGATGACACAGGTTGCCCGGATACATACATGCAAAACAAGATTTTTGAAGCGACAGATGGAGAGCTAATTTGTAGTACTTCACCAGTGTTGAATACGGGTCTCGGATAGACAACAAACGTCGATATTAAGACTTACCAAAGACATAGTCACCCTATTTGTTGTCTGACCTGCATAAGTGTGCGAACGTTGAAGGCAGCCAGTTTGAATGGTGCACGTGGTTTCAGAAAAACTGCTTCGGTACTCGTACTTGGTGGTAGCATACAATTTCCAAACTGGCATTGATTCGAGAACGTTTGGATACAACCGAGTTTCCACCATAGGCGAGCTGCTGTATAAGTCAAAAAATAAGGATACATAAAGTGGGAATGAAAGAGAGTGAATAAATGACGTAAAATAATAATAATACCAATAGTAATAATAATAATAATAATAATAATAATAATGTGAATCGTGTGATTGTTAATCGCAGCAAGACAAGTATTTTCCATAAATATCGACATTTCTTCATATTTGTGTGTGGGCTGTGATACTGCCCGGGTGCCCAAACCAAAGCAGGTGGTTTTCTTAGGGGGCCACACCCGGAGTCTTTGACCTGAAGGTCTGATCCACAAGGCAGTGGAGCATCGTGAGGAGATGCAGTCCCATGGTAGCCAGTGACCAACAATTGGTTCATACGCCATTTGTTCCCTCAGGGTAATGGAGCCCATGTGCACCATTGGTTTAGGATCCGGTTAAAGCGCCCCACTCTAGAACAAAACTGCCGTCCAATGCTTCAAGGTTTTCAATGGTGGTGTAGCTTAGATCGAATCATGATTTCAACTGTTAAAACAATATCATTTACTACCTCTCCATGATTTTAAAGAATACCAGTTTGTATGGGAAATAGGGCATGAGCTCTGTCAGGCTTAACACGCGGGCATTCCCTCAAATACTCGTTTCATGGGCAGCAGCTCATCTTTATGATGTGAATTTCTTCAAGTGTTTTTAATTTCTTTTGTCTCGTAAGGTGTTTTTAATATAATGTTATGATTTAAAATTGCTTCATATGATGACTTCTAATGTTAAATTTCATATTTAACAAAAATAGTCAGTGGATCTTTTAATTACATTTCATTAACTGTATACTGATACTATTTGTTCCCCGAACGATGGATACATTTTCAAAATGATATTACTAACATCCAGAAATGTAAATGATCTATAAGAGGACTTTCAAATGGAGAGGGATTCTACAAAAATCAGTTACTGGTTTTAGATGGAGTAATTTTGACTTCATTATTTGTTTGAAATCATAACTTAGAGAAGTCACGGATTTACAGAAATCCCACAAATTAGCAACTTATTTAAATTTGTTTGTCTTGAACAATTCTTTATCTAATCCAAGGTACACCTGATCTCAAGTGGATTCAGATGACAAGTGAAAAACCCAAGTTAAAGTTAAAACCAAATCTATCAAAATATATTTTCATTATTTTGAATGTCAGTGAAATTTAGTATGAAGCTTCTTTACTTTAATGTCTCTGAATCATCCAAATATAGGAGAAAACTCACTCGACACGTATTTGTTTTTGTCCTAAATACTCAGTCAAATATCGAATACTAAGCTCCTTAATGAATGCAGTGTGAATGCTTTTCTCTTGACCTAAAGCATAGTAAATCATTTGTCATTCCCTGAGTCTTTTGCGCTTTTGATTCCATAGGAGCTAAGGCTTTCTATTTTGCCGAAGTACTACTACTAATATTTTGTGATCAATGAGAGCCATCTAGTTGATAATTTTTAAATAACCATATTTATTTATTTATTATTTATTTCAACAAATAGATATTGGTAAAAGGAGGCACCAAATACATATGCAGCACACAAATCTCATTCGATATATGTGAGGGCTGTGATACTGCCCGGGTGCCAAACCAAAGAAGGTGGTTTTCTTAGGGGAACACTTCCCGAGCCTTTGACCGGAAGGTCTGATCCACAAGGCAGTGGAGAATCGTAAGGAGATGCAGTCTTATGGAAGCCGGTGACCAACAATTGGTTCATACGCCATTTATCCCCTCAGGATACTGGAGCCCATGTGCACCATTGGTTTTGAATCCGGCTAAGGCGCCGGACGTTCGCTTTTCGTCCTCTTATTTTTGTAAACAACAGAAATCCCACGAGAAACCAGTGAGTAGGACTTCCCTGGAAGAGGCTATATATGCGTGACTATGTGGGAGCATTTCGAGAGGGAGAGCGGACTCTTCCCACTCTCGGCCGAACCAGGGCATTTGGGGGCTGAAACCAAACTTGGTTTGGTAAATTTCCTTCATTGTCAGAATAAGAGTTTGTGGAAATTGTGGTAATTTAATGATTGAATCCGTGAGTCCAGGTTTTCCAGGGTGGTCTAGATTTTATTTAGTCTGTTTATCTCAACGAAACGAATGAACTTTACTATCTATCCCAATACAATCCATGTAACATTTATATGATGTTTATGTATTTAAAGTTTTATATTGTTTGATGAAATATTGTTTAGATATGAACTTGTGTTGTTAGGAAATCAAAAAGCAATAACTACTAAGATGCTTTCCATTTTTTGCTCTTTTACATCAGCTGATGGATCTGATCCGGACTTGAGTTTTTTGAAATCAATTCAAGAAATATCTGGTTACTTGATTATAATGCATTCAAATGTAAATAATATACCATTGTCTAATTTACGAGTTATACGAGCAAATAATGGAGGCTATAAAATACGCGATGAATTAGATTTTGCCGCTCTAATAATCCGAAAGAATTATAAAGATGGAGAAACACTGAAGCACGTTGATTTACATAGCTTAAAATGTAAGTAATTTTCTTGTTAGAATTTGAAATGTGTTGTTAATTCCAAAAATTACTAGTGGTAAGTTTTATAACCACTGGAATGTGGTGGTTGGAAAGTAAACATGAATAAATAAATGCTTTCTATAAGTTTAAAAGTGTTATTTTGGACCAAGACTCAGAGAGTATTACTTAAGTGTAGTGTTTTTAGTATTTATAATTTCCGAAAACCAAGGTAATTTTCATTAACTGACGCATACATTTTTTAACTTAAAATATGCTTCACAAGATGGATTGTAGGCTAGTGCCAAACTACTGATTAATCTCTGTCTAACGATCAGGCGTGATTGTTGGAAAAATTATTTTACTGTTATTTTTTCATTGAAATCATGAAACAATCAATGTTAGACCACCTATGGAAACCTTAAAGCAGTGGACATCGTTTCGTCCTATTATGGAACTCCTTGGCAATGCTCATCCGTCACCAGACCAGCTGGACTTGGACCCTGGACCTTCTGTCTCACTCGCTACCGCTAACCACTGAGCTGACATCTAACGATGGCAATGTCTAGTTGTAATCAATCCTCAATATTGCGTGACTATCTTTCATTGTTTCAGTGGGTAACTGTGAATTGATAACTTGGCTTAAAAATTCCATAATTATACTTAAAGAAATCTAGTTAGTAATGGTTATTTTCAGTTTTGTTAAATAGAGTTTTTGTATTTTGCTAGTTCAAAAGGTTTCTTATATCCAAAATATTTTGCGGCTAATTTATGAAATTTCACTATGAAATTATATCAGTCTAATAATTGTTGCGGGTTTAATTCCATTACATATTTGTTCCAGTATATTTTGGAACTTCTCAGTAGAATGGAACTGCAAAATGTTAGAAGAGCTTTTGTTTGAATCCTCCCAAAATATAGGGAAATTTTGAATTTTGATAAAAATCTCAAAAATCCTCATTTATGTCATAAGTTAACGCTCTCGCGTGTTATCACATCATGTAGGTTTAAACAGCTGCAATGGATATGTTTGTGTTTATTGTTAGATAACTGTTCAATAATATATTCGTCAATGACTTGTATATCGTAACTATCATTAAATCGAAGTTTAGGAAACTAAATATACATCAGTTTAATTTAGATAATCTGATTGACGAATGGTTGAAAATGCTTATACTTTAAGTGGAAAAATGTCCCATTTCTACCTAGAGAGATCCTGATATGGCGTATTATACTGACTTCCTTCCAGGCATTTATTTTGTTTTTTGAACTGTTTACCAGACATTAGTTTGAAATGGGACCCTTCATGTTAGTCGATTAGTTGTGTGAATAAATTTACCTTCAAAAAGTAACTTAAAGATAGTACTTACTTACTTACGTCTGTTACTCCTCGTGGAGGAGCGTAGACCAATAGATAGTAGTATCATCTAAATAAGACATTCATTGTGTTAAAGATGATTTTCAAACTCTATAAACAAGTGAGCAATATCAGTTATATCTAAGACGAGCTTTTCGTGCCAAAATATAAGCTAAATTATCATGGAAAATTTTTTTTAATAAACTAATTTGGAGAACACTCATTTAGTCATGGTAACTGAGTTAGTACGTAACTAAACTCTAGTTAGAATTTTATGATTTATCATTTTCATGAGACATGTAAGCAAGCTGTGTAGACACTTGACTTCGTAAGTTTATGGATATATATATATATATATATATATATATATATATATATATATATATATATATATAAACATGAATGCCAACTGCGTATTTAATGTAAAATAAGTATTTCTTTCCAGTGATCATAAATTAAATGATATTTACAAACAATAATCTGACATGTAGAAACATGTTCTTTTAATATTTTAAATAGTCATACACACACTTTATAGGTTTAGCCTTATCTACAGGTATTTAAAAAAACAAACTGTGAGAAGGTCACTGACTCATCTGTACTATTTCTCATGTTCAAGTCAAGTGAAAAGCATTTCAAGTGGATACATAAAGCATAAAGATTATGGTAAGGTTTAAATTTTACAATGGAATGTCTGACTAGCACAAATTCTACTGCAAAATGTATGAAGGAATGTTCTTAAAACAGCAACAAAATCTTAAAATTGTTTTAGGTAGCTGTACAAATCCACATTAAGAAGTGAAATTTAAACCTAGCATTTGAGCACTTAAGTGCTCTTAAAGTCTTTAGACAAATATTTCTGTCCTTAGAAACATAAATGCCAATGGTATTTGACCTGATATTTCATGTCAAACAGAGCATTTTGTTACTATGTTGGTTCTATTCATTTAATTGCTTTGTTGATGTGATATTGTACGGGCATCAACATGGACTTGATATCAACAGTTGAGCAGTATATAAAGTATACATGTACCCAAATATTTGAATATGTCAAAGATTTTGAAATGAAGTAAACATTTATGGAGTGTTATCATAATCATGAACCTAAAGATGACTAAATTAATATCAACCTCAGTAATGTTAGTCATAAGCCACTGTCTCCTTGACACGAAGATGACTGTACAGGTATATATATGATGGAAAATCATCATGGACCTTTAGCAATGGAAGCGCTATATTACGTTTAAAAATATTAGTGCAGCAAAAGTCCTAAACTGTAGAAAAGTTTAAGTCACAGTTTTCACGAGAAATCACACTTTACTATTATTGATTAGTGCAGCCGAAATGATTGTCTTGTCATCAGACATATGTTCCTTGCATTACATATGCCTCAAATTCCTTGTTTTTTTATTAGCAATGGATAATAATCAGTTAACTCTACCAAGTCAACAAAAAAACAGTTTAAGCCTAAGTAAACAACTGATATCTGTTGAACAAGAAGTCTTTTAGTACTACGTTCGAGTTTTAATGTGGTGACTAACCTATCGGGAGTGAAAATGCACCTAGGTTGCATAAATAAACATGCTTTTGTTCTTCACTTCATAACTGGTTTTTTACCCCGTTTTGAGTTATTTCTGGTGTGTATAAACTTCATGAAACATACAATCTGTATTCTATTAAATATAAGTGCTAATATGCTAAATTTACCACTTTTCAATAATACATTTTTAAGTTTTAATAAATATTTCACAGCATGCATTCCTAATAATTCAGAACATTCAAATCAGTTTCATATATATAACGGGTTTTAGGACACTAGGTTATAGTTTCTTCATCATTGTCAGAAAACAGATGTATTAACAAACACATCAATTTTACTCATGCAATTTTGGTATAATAATTGACTTTAACCTTGACTGTGAAGAGAATAAAGTGAAAGTTTGATGAAACCATCAAGCTAAAGATCTCTTACAGTTCTTCAAATGTATACTCTCCAACTAGTTCGCCGTGCTTTGTCCGTATTTTATACAGCTTTGGAACAATGGTTTACATCAGAAGCATCGTGCAAAATTGTCACTACCATACATATATCAACTGTACATGTTCGATTTTTATATATTTGACAACTATATCGATTTTCTAAACGCATGTTGGTGTAAATGTGCTCTAAATTATGGTCCAATATATCGTTTTCACTTTAGAGTCATCTGATATTGCATCTCGTTATTCATCCGAAATCTGACCTCGTAAAATACCGAGTTCAGAAGTTAATGAACTTTATTTCATGTCGTTTATGTAAACAATCAGCACTAAAACGGACCTTGTGCTCAAGAGATAATTATGCTTCCGCAATTAATTACTGCTCACCACAGTATAGACCCAGTGGTGCGGTTGTTGTTCCTTGAAATCTATGATCCAAATAGATTTTCCTTGCCGTACATGCTTACCAAAGTAATTCTTGAAGTGAAATCCAAACATGAATTCCAGGCATGGTTTCGATCTTACGTGAAAACTAGTTTTTGAAATCAGATGGCTTTCACATATTCTGAAACTATCAGTCAGTCGGTACATCATTAACAACGTAGAACTTCGTACGTACGTACATCAGTTCCAGTTGCCATACTACATTAGCACAGAGATGCAGTTGTCGATTCAAATCCTGTAGTTGTAGAAGTAGTAAGAGTATAAGCAGTAATCGGAAACCATTCATATTGATCGATGTATTTAGGTAACACATAAGCTCTTGGAATTATAAAACAGCATTTTAAAGCATTTCTTTAGAAACCACCAGTATTATGCAGCAAACAATACCTCAGATACCCTAGATCAAATTTGCTATACACCATGAATAATAAACGAAACAGGTATTTAAAAATTATGAAATGTTAAAAAGTGCAGTTCATTCCTTCCAGCCCATGTTGCGCAACCATTCAAAGCCTAATTCGTGTGTACCATTAATAGTTTTAGAGTATTTAGAGTGAATTTTGTACCAAATAATTAGTGCTACTGTACCAACTGTTGGTGAACAGTTCTTATTCGGCGTCAAACTAAATGTTAAGCAAATATTTGTGTTTCGAGTTATTGAGTAGAAAAACACTATATTTTAAACCTAGACAATTTGAAAAACAAAGATTAATCAATACACGGAAACATGTTACGTAGTCTGGCAAACAATAAAGTACAAGTATTATAGTATCAGTAAAGTTTACAACTTAAATTTCATTCCAAGAATTTGAACAGAATCAACATTATGCTACTTATTACTGAGATAATTTTTTAAAATGTCTAAAGGACTAGTACCACAAAACACTTGTTAAAAAGGAAATGAAATCGTCATACTTACTAGTAAACTATGTAGATTATATCTCTAGGGTACTGATGCAAAAGCTTAAGAGTATGGGGATGATATAAAATGAAGTTCAGTCAGCGCATTATTTGAAATATAAAACTATCGCCCAATAAAACACCATGAAATTGAATGTCGGAAATAAATCAGTGAGTTGAAGAACTTGTCACAAAATCTAGTGATAAGAATCAGTCCGATAAGATTGAGACCATGTGCATCAAGCATCTGTAAAATATCCACAGTGGATAGTAGCTAAACTGTGAATTGGGCAGGCTGGAGGAATTTCTGGCTAAAATTATGGGCTCCAGTACGCTTTAACTTGTGACACACACCTTAGATATAGCCTCTTTCACAAAATAGGAAACAATGTATTATCTAAGTAAGTATGCCAAGTCTGCCAAGACTTAACTATTAACGTATAGACTGAGTAATTATCCATATAATCAACAAACACTTTGCTGTATTTAAAATGACTTGGAACTTGAAAATTTTTATTATGTATTTTAAAACATACTAATCGATGTTTGAATATAACGGCAAGTCAGTAGGAAATGAATGCTTAATGGTGGATTTTTTCTGGTCTTCTTTATGCTTCGCATAAAATCTGTGCGTTGTTTCCTCCTGTTTTCATTACGCTGTGAAACAATCACTCTAGAATTTCAATTTTAAGTCTTACACAGTCTATTATTAAACTGAAAGTAACTATCGTGAAGTGTAACTTGGTTATTCTCTAATAAAAATATCCATAAAGCTATTTTCAGTGTTCATTGGTGTTCCAAAGAAAGTGAGGTAATGCATTTCGGAACGCACCATTACGTGTTTACTCATCTCAAGAACCCGATGCAAATTTACTTTCATATGGAACTTTAAGTGTATGTTAAGAAACGTCGTAATTAACGGGCATAATGATGTGATGTTTTCATCTAGTTTCTTTTTGGATCGCACTCAACCAATGTGATGTTTTTTAAACTAAAGTTGGAGCTTCTTCTATGCCCGCTTTTTCTTGAGTTCGACGAATAACTTTTCTAATAGACTGAAAATGAGAAAGAATTAACTAAATTTGTAATAAAGCATCAAAAACCTGTTTGAAAAAACTAGTTTTGTTTAAATAACTAATTTACAACTTATAGTTTAATAGAGTGAATGTTGACTGCTCATCAAATTTCAATGATAAGTATACAGTTAATTTACTGACTGTCATTGTCATTGGAAACATAATTCAATCTGACAAAGAGAATTTCAAAACGAAGAAATATTTTATTAGGTACGATTTGTAAAGAAACATAAAAACGTGTTCTTTATGCATCAATAAAACTATAACGACAGACAACTGAAATGCCTTACATTTGTATGACATAAACTCGTTAAAAAAATGATAAATATGTTAATATTATTAGATGAAACTGAGATCACTATAAGTATTTCAGTTAATGTATTCTGAAGAAGAATAACTCCTGAGCCAAATATATTTTGTGCCTAATCAATTTCACACTATATAGTTAATTATACACTCAGACTTTACCAAATTGATGGACATTATAACGATTGTGATGACTAAGTAAAATAAGATGAATCAGCGTACACACATGAAACATTGCGTGGTGAAATATGGAATTAAGTCTAAATATGCACATGAACTATTTGCTTGAAGGTAAACAACAGAAATCCCACGAGAAACCAGTGAGTAGGACTTCCCTGGAAGAGGCTATATATGCGTGACTATGTGGGAGAATTTCGAGAGGGAGAGCGGACTCTTCCCACTCTTGGCCGTACCAGGGCATTTTGGCGTCAATACAATTACCATACAACACTATATGACCTTACTTAAGTCAGTTACCATATTTCAGCTTTTCTTTTGCATTTCTGTATGAGTGTAGATATACAGATCCAGTGTTGGTGCTGGAGGAACAAATTGTGAGATAGACCATCTAAGCTTTTAAACTTTTAAAGGGAAGATGAGAATAAACAGTCTGATAGTGCTATTTCCCGTATTTGTTATAAAATCTTACTTATATAGCATTTTTATACTTATCATTTATTTTGTACTTTGACTAGAGATTTATTCATGATAGATTTTCTTCTCATTGGTAATAAAGAATTCTAAGAATCTTATAATGGCATATTAAGTGTACTTGTATGAGCTTTTAGACATACCTGCATATAAATTTTGTTTTTCAACGAGCACACGTTTATTTCTTTTAAAATGACATATTGATCTGACAACGATTCTTTAAAGTAAGCTCAAAAGAATGTTAACATTAAACCTATGCAATTATTACCGTTGAATTCTACTGGATCCCAAATTTTAAACAATATTAAGAAACAAAGAAGTTATTTATTGAGATGAAATAGATTATCAATAAACTTCTTAGAATGTCAAAATGTTTTTCGACTACTAAATACACAAGGTCATCAAATCTAAGAAAAATATTATCCACTACGTGTTATTAACGAATGGGAACCTACCATTAATTGATTTATGGAATGGGTTTTAATGAGGAAAAAATTATTAAGAGATGCTGTGCTACGCTTTTGTTTGTGACAACACTAGACCACATCAAATGAACATTATGTAGTTATGAATATGAATAGAAAGTAAAAAAATTAGGAATTATCTGAATTTGATAAATCTATAAAAATCATATGCAAAAGCAAAAAAGGATAAGTCAGTCAGTCAGCTACAACGTAGGACCAGGCACATATGTGCATCGGTCCAGGTTGCCATACCACATCAGCACAACAAGATGAACACCGGATTCATAGCAGTGGTTAGGTCAAAGGTGGTAATATATAAGAGAAAGATTGCATATAGAGATATAGTACAAGAAGAAAAAATTGGTTCGTAGAAAGAAAGATATGAAAAAAAAGATAAAAATTTATCCATTCCAAAATGTTATTATATTTACCAGAATGTGTAAAGTATTTCCACCTTATTGTTCTTGTTTTATACAGCTATAGTTCGTGGTAGCGTTTATATATACGATAATCCGGGACTTCAGTATTTGCCGGACAGTATCCACTGGACTGAATTATTCGAAAGTCTTGGAGAACAGAACTTTTACAGTCATAAGTTGATTCAAACAAACAGTTATGGAGACAAAAATATCACTATTGATCTACATCTATATGAACACAATCCACATGACATTGAACCAGAGCCAGTATCAGCTAATGTGAAGCCATGTAAGACGATAAACTTTATGCTATACTCGTCAACTTTACGGTATTTAGTGTAAATTATCTTTATTGTTAAATGCTTAATCAATTTCAGATTCCATCTTATTTGGACTCATATAGTAAGGAGATATTAAAGAGTTCAGGATAGATCATTAGCGTCATATTAGCAATACTTATTGCTCATATTTATTTCAACTACGTACCTTTTGCATGAAGAGATGTTCTTGTAGCAATACTATAGGCTGATTTTTATGAACATGATTTCGATAATAAAATAGAATACTACTTACTTACTACTTACGCCTGTTACTCCTCGTGAAGGAGCATAGGCCACTCACCAGCATTCTCCATCCAACCCTGTCCTGGGCAATCCTTTCTAGCTCCGTCCAGTTGTAATTCATCCTTTTCATATCTGCTTCTATAATCCGACGCAATGTGTTCTTTGGCCTTCCTCTTTTTCGCCTCCCTTCAGGGTTCCAAGTTAGGGCTTGCCTCGTGATGCAGTTTGACGGTTTGCGTAATGTATGTCCTATCCATTTCCATCGTCTTTTCCTAATTTCTTCTTCAGCTGGAAGTTGGTTTGTTCTCTCCCACAGAAGGCTATTGCTGATGGTATCCGGCCAGTGGATGTTGAGTATCTTGCGTAGGCAGCTATTTATAAATACTTGTACTTTCTTGATGGTGGTTGTTGTAGTTCTCCAAGTTTCAGCTCCATACAGTAGAACTGCCTTGACGTTCGTATTGAAGATTCTCACTTTGATATTGGTTGAAAGTTGTTTTGAGTTCCATATGTTCTTCAATTGTAGGAATGCGACCCTTGCTTTGCCGATCCTCGCCTTTACGTCTGCATCTGAACCTCCTTGTTCATCGATGATGCTTCCTAGGTATGTGAAGGACTCTACATCTTCCAGAGTTTCGCCATCAAGAGTGATTGGATTGCTGTTCTGCGTGTTGAATTTGAGGACCTTGGTTTTCCCTTTGTGTATGCTGAGGCCTACTGATGCAGAGACTGCTGCTACACTGGCTGTCTTCATCTGCATCTGTTCGTGTGTACGTGATAGGAGGGCTAGGTCGTCTGCGAAGTCCAAATCGTCTAATTGATTCTGAGTTGTCCATTGTATTCCGTGTTTTCCTTCAGATGTCGAGGTCTTCATAATCCAGTCGACCACCAGAAGAAAGAGGAAGGGAGAGAGTAAACAGCCTTGTCTGACTCCAGTCCTTACTTGGAATGCATCTGTCAGCTGTCCTCCATGCACTACTTTGCACTGTAGTCCGTCGTATGAGTTCCGGATAATGTTGACAATCTTCTCAGGAACTCCGTAGTGTCGAAGAAGTTTCCATAATGTCCTCCTATCTACACTGTCGAATGCCTTTTCATAATCAATGAAGTTGATGTATAGTGATGAGTTCCACTCCACTGATTGTTCGACGATGATCCGTAGTGTTGCAATTTGGTCTGTGCACGACCGATCCTTACGGAATCCAGCTTGTTGATCTCGAAGTTGGGCGTCTACTGCATCCTTCATACGGTTCAGCAACACTCTGTTGAAGACTTTCCCTGGTATTGACAGTAGTGTAATGCCTCTGTAGTTTTCACATTTGCTCAGATCTCCTTTCTTTGGAATCTTGACGAGGTGTCCTTCTTTCCAGTCCATTGGCACTTGTTCCTCCTCCCAAATCTTTTTGAATAGAAGGTACAGCATGCTTGTGGTTGCTTCGATGTCTGATTTCAGTGCTTCAGCTGGTATGTTGTCGGGTCCTGCTGCTTTCCCGTTCTTGATTTGTCTGACGGCCATTCTAATTTCTTCCGTCGTTGGTGGGTTGACATCTATAGGAAGATCTATGTGTGCTGCTTCGATGTCCGGTGGATTCATTGGAGCCGGCCTATTCAGGAGTTCCTCGAAGTATTCCACCCATCTGTTACGCTGATGTTGAATTTCGGTGATTGGCTTGCCTTCTTTGTCTTTGACCGGCCTCTCTGGTTTACTGTATTTCCCTGCTAGTTTCTTCGTTGTATCGTAAAGCTGTTTCATATTTCCTTCTCTAGCAGCTTTTTCTGCCGTCGTTGCTAGTTCTTCCACGTATTTCTTCTTGTCGGCTCTAATGCACCTCTTCACTTGTTTGTTTGCTTCTATGTATTCAGCTTGTGCTTGAACTTTCTCTGCTCGTGTTCGGCTGTTGTTAATTGCTGCCTTCTTGTTCTTCCTTTCTTTGATCTTGTCCAGTGTTTCTATAGAGATCCATTCCTTATGATGGTGTTTCTTTAGGCCCAGAACCTCTTGACACGTTGAAGTTAATGCTTCCTTGATGCCTTTCCAGTTGTCCTCCATACTAGTTTCTTCTTCTTTCAGTAGATCTTGTAAGGCTTGGAACCTGTTGTTGAGAGCTATCTTGAATTCATTGAGCTTGTCAATAGAATAAATTAAATTAAATGTTACCTATAATCTAAAGTATTTAATAGTTCTAAAATTTGTTTTTTTATTCATCATGATTAATAAACTTGGTTGTACTCACATTTGTATGCAAAGAATAAGATGTGTGAAAGATAGGTAATCCAAAAACGTACAATAAATATGTCACAGCTTTTAGTCTGGATAGGATGGAATCAAGGAAGTATGTTGGTTTGTGAGCAATATTGATTTTAAAGGGTTTTGAAATTCCTATGACGATTTCTGAGATGCTTTCCACATATGGTAGGCCGATTAGTTTTTTTATTTTCTTAGGTAATTTGGTATGTAGAATTACTAGACATATTTTAATGAAATTCCTGTAGTAGACATTTTTACTAAATAGAAAGGACTGTTTTTAACGCTTTGTATAGTGAGTGAAAAAAACTGAAGCCTCGGAAGATACCCTGTTACAAATAAGGCCATCAGAATGAATTAATTCGACGCTAGTGTAACAGCTGATGAACTTATTTCTACATGAAGTAAGCGGTGATGGCTTTGTTTAGAACGATAACTGTCTAGCTCAGAGAACACACCAACATAAAAATGTACCTGAGCTGTAAATCTTTTCCAGCGTTTCGGTATATATATAACTCCTCTGTATATAAAAATGTCTTCATACTTTGTTTTAACAAAATGAGATATACCTGTTTAAAATCATTCTCATGATTTAGTCGTCAGCGGAATCATTCACTAAGTTGAAATTAAAATGTTAATTTAAATAGTTTTTTTTTCAACCATTTTTCGAGAATTCATGTCAAAATTAAAAAATTGAAACCTACCAAAAAAATATGTAAAAAATTTGATTTTACTCTTTCGGTATTTTTACGGCACATGTAAACAGATTTTTCAGACTATTAACATTTTTAGAAACTAATCAATTCAATAAGCAAATTCTTAGCAGTCAATAAATGAGAAAACAACTCAAAATTATGAATGAATAAACTGCGCTTTCATTCTAGGTTTAGTTGGTTGATTATAACAAATTGCGGTATTGCAGAAGATAAGATACTGTAGAATCTCCACTGATCACTTATCAAATCACCTAAATGAAAGATTTTTAGGGTATCATTTAAAGCATCCCAATAATTAAATTGACGCTGACCTGATATATACTCTATATCACGAACCAATTCAATCCAAATACACTCAAAAGTCCTCAATATGTAACTTAGGCACTATTTGATAAACGTTTCCTGTCCTATCTTATCCGATGTTCCAAAGTGACAAGACTGACTGATTAGCGATACTCATCATAATCCAGTTAGAAGATATTAAAATCAATTCCAGGTGATGTGTTTAAGAAAGAGGTAACCTGACAAAGTTGTCCAAAAGCCTCAACAACACTGTTTAAACTTGAGTGACATAGATTAAAGAAGCTAATAATAAATGCTTAATACGCAACCTGTAGCTGATGGATGTTATGATAACCTTCACGTTCACTACATAAACCTAGTTTCAAAACGGACTTATCAATGGCTTTATCCATGATTAATATGAAGCCCAGTTTACTGAAGATTTCCAAACGACGTAATCAGTCAATGACTGCTCAACAACCGAGAAGAAAAGGGTATAGATCATCCATATTTTGTATTTTTGATCTTAGGGGACGCTAATGAAACTTCGGTTCATTTGTGGGTACGTATCCACATACCAAACAGTGAGTAAAGATTTGTTTGGGACGGCTACATTGCTTTTAAGGTTTATTGTAGTGGATTTCCCTGACATCCTAAATTTTATGCCATTAGCTTCAATGGTCGTCTTTGGGTGAGATTTCTTGAAGTTTGTGATTCAGATGAACTAATACAGCTGTTGGAAAATACTTGGTGTGTCTGTTGTTCCTATTTCCGGAGGTCATTCTAATCACCGGATTTCTCAGCTTTTACACTGATTACTGAAACCTTTATATGAGTGACTCGTGCACAGTATTGCACTTGTTGTACACTTTATTGGAGTGCATCCTGTGAAGAAGATCTAAAGAGTTCAACAAACCTTAATTTTTATGAGGGGATCCATCCCCGAGTCTCTGGAAATATTATTAACTGACTATCTGTTGCACAGAATAGGTTTAATACGTAATGAAGCATTATAATAATACAGATAGGTACTCTTTCAAAGAGAAATGATTAATTATTCACCTACCTTATCATTGCTTAATTGCTTCACTGGCTTAAAGTTTAGGGGATAGGTAGTATAACATGAACAATAACTGTTCCCGAAGTTTTTATCATAGGAAAACAAACTGTGGTGTACATCAATGACTGTCTAATTTCTAGTAGGAACGTAACAAACCAATATCTTCTTTTATTTAAGTCCTCAGTTGGAAATTTAATGAAATTCAAGAACACTAAGTTGATAAGGCTATTTTGTGATTTATTCGAACAAAAGTACTGAAAATTGTAACAGATTATTCAGATGGTTTTTTTCTTCTCACTTTTCCAACCATACTATTCAAAATTTGGCCAATAAACAAAGTGAAGGCAAAGCTGATTTCTCAGTCCTAAATGTGCCTCTTTAACTGACAAATGGATAACTTATTAATAAAAACTTCCTGACTTA